TGATATGCTGTTCCAGTTGTTTTTGGATAATCTTCAGTAGAATCTTACTTGCATGTGAAATCAATGAGATTGTTCTGTAGTTTCCACACTCAGCTGGGTCACCCTTTTTTGGAATGGGAACAAATATAGATCTCTTCCAGTCAGTTGGCCAAGTGGTTGTTCTCCAGATTTCTTGGTACAACTTGGTGAGGACACCCAGGGCAGCATGTTAACTGAAATACATCAATTGGTATACCATCTAATCCTGGGGCTTTATTTTTTGCCATTTCCTTCACAGCAGCTTGAACTTCTTCCTTCATTACTATAGGCTCTTGCTCATATGTTGTTTCAGATTGAATAATTATGAAGAAAGGATCCATCCCTTACACACAGCCTTCCTGATTTTAAACTGTGAAGTGTTCTCTTGCACAGCAGCTTCTTGTCTTTGCATAGATTTTGTATGAATAACTGCTTCTGACAACCTGCTGGAGGGTCAGCTATGAGTTGATTACAACTCAGTGGCAAACAACAACAGATGAGAACAAATGGTCAACATTTACCCACAAGTGAGGATGAGAAGGCAGGGAGGGGGAGAGAAGTTCCAAGAGGGAAAGAGAAGAAACAAAATAGAAATAATGAGAACGTTGACACATTGTGAAAATTGTAATCAATGTCACAGTAATTTGCATAATAATTGTTAAATGGGAACCTAGTTTATGGTGTGATCTTTTACCTAAAACACAATAAAATAGTTTAAGTAAGTAAAAAAAAACAACAACCCTCTTTTCAGATGTTTTCTAAAGATTTTCTCCCTATAATAAACTTCTGCTATCACTTTTTTAGTAAAGTCTTGATGAAAAGTTTTTTATTTTTATGAGGTTCTGTTTATTTTTCTCTTTTTCTGTTTCTGCTTTTGCTGACATGTAAAAGCACAGCCCCACAGCATTAACTTTGCATTTTCTTCTAAGAATGTTATAGTTTTGCTTTTCACATTTAGATCTTTAATGCATTCTGAAGTTGTGTTGTGTTTTTTTTTCTTGTGTGGTGTGAGGCGTGGATCCTGTTTTCGTTTGTCTTCCTATGGAAATACAACTTTCCTGTACCATTTATGCTGAAACTCTTCCTTCCCCATTGAAGGGACTTAGAACCCTTGTTAAAAACCAGTTGGCCAGAAAGATATGGCTTTATTTCTAATCCTCAACTCTATTCCATTGGTCTATATGTCTATTGTTATACCAATACCAGGCTGGTTCGCCTGCTGCAGAGTGTCAAGGTCTGCAGCCTACAATATGGATTGAGGCTCAATGTCAAGAAGACAGAGATTCTCACCACTGGACCAATTGGCAGCATCAGGATGGATGGTGAAGAGATTGAGATTGTACACAGCTTTAGTTTGCTTGGCTCCATAGTCAACAGTCTTGGCACCAGCAGCTAGGAAATTAAAAGGCGCATTGCAATGGGAAAGTCGGCTGTTAGGGACCTCTCCAAAGTACTGAAGAGCAATGGTGTCTCTTTGGAGACTAAGGTGCGTCTGATACAGGCCATGGTCTTCGCAATCACCTGTTATGCATCAGAGAGTTGGACAATGACCAAGGAGGATAGAAGGAGAATTGATGCCTTTGAGCTGTGGTGCTGGAGAAGAGTATTGAGAATACCATGGACTGCTAGGAAAACAAACAGATTTGTCCTGGAAAGGGTTAAACCGGGTGGCTCCTTGGAGGCAAGGATTCTGAGGCTCCGTCTAACATACTTTGGACATGTTGTGAGGAGAGACCGGTCCTTGGAGAGGGACATCATGCTTGGGAGGGTGGAGGGACGGTGCAGGAGAGGAAGGCCCTCTATGAGGTGGATTGATTCAGTGACTGGGATAATTGGGATGGGAGTGTCGGAGACAGTGCGATTGGCACAGGACAGAGCGGAGTTTAGGGCTGTTGTACATAGGGTCGCTATGAGTGGCAGGCGACTCGACGGCACGTAACAACAACAACATGTAATATATTTTAAAATTAGGAAGTGTGGTTTTTCTTATTTTGTACTTCTCTTTTAACATTGCTGTAGCTACATGTGTCCTCTTACCATTTCTTTTAAGTTTGAGAATTGGTTTTTCCATATCTGTAAAGAAGGCTGTTGGAATTTTTCTTGGGATTGTATTGAGTGTACAAATCAGTTTGGGAAATGCTGACTTAGCAATATTAAGGCATCTGATCCGTGAATGAAGGAGCTCTGGGGGCCTACTGGTAAGTGGCTCTGCTGCGGTCCTGAAGGCATGCAGTTTGAATCCATGGGTGTTTCATGGGAGAAGGATGGGCGATTTCCTCCCATGAGATTTACTGCCTTTGAAACCCGCTGAAGGGTCAGTTATGGGTCAGTCCCAACCTGACGGGACACAACAACAACAATCCATGAACACAGAACACCTTTCCATTTCATTCTTCTTCAATCTCTTTCCCTGTTTGAACATTTGTTGTGATTTAGTTAAGGAGCTCTGGTGTCATAGTGGGTTAGGTGTTGGGCTGTTAACTGAAAGGTCATCTGTTCAAACCCACTTAGATGCTTTAAGGAAGAGATGGATGGTATACCGTTGAGATTTATAGCCTAAGTAACTCATTGGAGAATCACCATGAGTTGGAGTCAAGTTGACAGAAGTGGATTTGAGTGGGGGTTTTGTTTATTTTGGTATGAGCTGCATCTAATTCTTTCACTTTACCTTTTTTTGTTTTTACACCTGAAGCTCTGGCCATTAGAAATATACATAAGCTGACCGGCGGCTTCTACTTTGTGCCTCACTGCAGTTCTGTGAACAGTCAAGTTGACCACTGACCCTGGACATGTGTCCAGGGTCAGTGTTCAAATCTTTCTGTCACCTCGTGGACATAACCTGCTGACCTTGCCATGTGCTAACCCTTGTTTTCCTGCAGCCCGAGCTGACTCTGGAGCAGGAGGAGCTGACCGAAGGGAAGCACGTAAAAACCGCCAAGCGAACTCACAAGAGGAAGCAGAAGCCAGAGGAGGAGGCGGGAGCCCCTGGGCCCGAGAGCGCCACCTTCAATGAGTACCCTGAGAAGGAGGCCGAGTTCACGGGCAGCAGCGTGGGAGACGAGACCAACTCAGCGGTACAGAGCATTCAGCAGGTGGCATCCCTTCTTTGTGTGTCCTGAGGTGCCCTCCTACTCCGCCAAGAGAGGCGGTTTCCTAAGCTGTTTAAACCTCTGCTCTTGCGTCACACCAATCCTTTTCTCAGTGTGCACAGTTCATTGTTGTTGTTGTTGTTGTTATAAGTTGCTGTCAGTGCCTCCAACTAATGTCTGGCTTTTGTGCTAGAGAACAAAACGTTGCCCAATCGCACATTGCCTTCATGATCATTAGCATGTCTGAAAACATCTTTTCAGCAGCTTTGCAGCTGTTGTGGGGTGCTTACCCACCTTGGGGGAACTCACCTCCCAGCACTGTAACAGCAAATACTCTGTAGTGATGCATAGGATTTTATTGGCTCATGTTCAGGTGTAGGTCCCCAGTCCTTTCTTCCTAGTCTGTCTTAGTCGGAAACCCAGGCACCACAGGTGACCTTGCTAGTGTGTCAGCTACCAGTAGCCCAACTTCCAGCATCACAGCAACGTACAAGCCAACCACACAGGGACTTTGTATGACTGCAGTCAGATAACACTCCCATTTCTCACTTGAGCATTATTTCACAGGATTGTTTTCATGTACAGCCACTCTCCTAGTTGAATATGACATGGCATTTTGGCATGGTAGAGAGGGCCATCTCCCAGTGGCTGGAAATTGGGCTTATTTCCTGTTTTGTGTCAGTTATAAATAACCTTCCTCAGTGTGTTCCTGTACTGGGAGGATGGACCTTGTGCGTCTGCTGACCAGTCATTATAAACCGTGCAATAGGCCAGACCAAACTGGCAGAAGATCAAAGAAGGCAGGGTTCAGCCAGCCAACTCCTCTTCTGTTAGTGGAACCTCCCACGTCACTCAATCTTGACCACTCTGTTTTGGAAGTTTCTAAATCTTACATCAGTCTGGATCTAATGTTGTATACCTCATCCTTCTTTTCATTTGGCCTTTCATCCTTAGCCATGAGAAAGAATACTTCCTGCTTTTTTCTTCCATTCTTTTTTTTCTTCTTATTTATTAGCTGTTGTCCTTAATTAGCTCTGTAGTTGGGAATTCCAGCATCTCAGGTGTTTAGAGGAAAGGGCAGGAAAAGAAATGTGCTCTGTCACGTACCATCATGACTTTTCTGTTTGGCTTTTCCTCACCGGACAAGTGCATTTGTTTCCCATTTTCATCTTATTGCCTGTATGATTATGTCTGTGTGGTTCCACTTGTAGTCCAGAAAGACAGTTTTCCAGGATACAGCTACCTATTTTATGTTGCTTAATTTAATTAGAAAATGAAACTTTATTAATTTTAACCTTCTACCATAAGAAATTTTGTCTTATTTTCCCCCTCTAATTTTGACAGGGCAAATAATTATTCGGCATGAAATGTGTAGCATCGAAAAGGTTCTTTTACTCGCAGTTGTACAGAAATGATTGACCAGTTTATGTTGTGTGCGACTCTTCCAGGTGGTGGTGACCCTGGGAGACCCAAACGTCACCACTCCATCAAGCTCTGTCGGCTTGACCAACATCACCGTCACCCCCATCACCACCGCAGCTGGGACTCAGTTCACCAACCTCCAGCCGGTGGCCGTTGGTCACCTCACCACGCCCGAACGCCAGTTACAGCTGGACAACTCGATCTTGACCGTGACCTTTGACACTGTCAGTGGCTCCGCCATGTTGCACAACCGCCAGAATGACATCCAGATCCACCCTCAGCCTGAAGCCTCAAACCCTCAGTCCGTGGCCCACTTCATCAACCTGACCACCCTGGTCAACTCCATCACACCCCTGGGCAATCAGCTGAGCGAGCAGCACCCTCTGGCCTGGCGGGCAGTGCCTCAGACGGACGTCATGCAGCCCCCACAGCCACAGCCCCCGCAACAGCAGGCGGCCCAGCCCCAAGTGCAGACGGAACCACAGCAGCAGATGTACAGCTACTGACACTTCCCGCAGGCAACGTGAAAACAGAAAGCCAGGGAAATCTGGTGGCGTTTTGAGTTTTATTTGCCGGATACCAAACAATGGGGGGAGAAAAGATTTCTCCGTTGCAATGTAAGTAAAGGTTGACTTAGCTTTTGCAGAATTATTTCCAACCCCCAGCAACATTACAGTCTGCCAGGCAGGAGTTTTGACCTGACAGGTTCCACACCATGCCTTACTCAAGGTGTCACGGCAGCTGCCACACCCTCACCTTCCCTTACAAAACTGTGTGTTTCACTGACACAGACTTGAGAAAATTAGACATGAAGAGAAGCAACTTCATAAGAGGCAAGTGATATGTTACATAAATGGTTCATTTTGTTGGGTTTGTTTCTTTTTTCTTTAGAGTTTGGAGGTTGTGTTACAATACCCCATAATATTCAGAACTGGCAATCCACAGCAGCAATACACAACTCTCCTCACTTCTGGGTTTGCTTCTTTGTTTTTTTCTGTTTTGTTTGTTTGTTTGATGAACAAACCGACTGAAGTTAAAGAAGCCTTGATTCTCTTCTTTAGAATTTGAGTTGAGCTGAATTTGTCATACCTCCATGGACTAAAACCCTGTAAGAAAAATGGACTGTGCTGGCATGTGTCTCGTGGAGCCCTCAGATTCAATAGCCCAGGGCGTCAGGTGAGGGCTCCATGTCAAGTATAAAAGGCTTCTGTCCAGAAATACAATTTCAATATAGTGTTTCCCTTTTTAATTTCATATACTCATGTATTCAAGACAATGTTATGGTCAATGTTGATTTCTATTTTATTTTATTTGAAGCTGGTGAAGTCATTTACACTGTAGGACTAGCTATCCATGTCCAAGTTACACAACTCCCTGAAGGCGAAGACAGTTCCTGTGTGTGCGGTGGGCCAATCCTCATGTTGTCACGTCCATGGCTCCTCAAGTTCCCTCGGGATTCTCTGCCATCTACAGCTATTTGCCACAAATAGCAGCTGAAATTCCCTAAGTGGAAAAACAGAGAAGGAAGCCTTATTTTTCTCTCTGTTTGAAAGGTTAATTTCAAAGGGTGAGAGGTTTTGAGATCAGTTCTATATAAGCATGTGGAAAAGCATCTGTGAAGTGTCCATGTGCTGTGGTTTCTTGCCAGGTGGCACCAGGTACAGAGAGATTAGTTCCCCAGTAAGTGAATGTACTGACTGAGAGCAAGCGCTGCTGGAAGGAGGGACAGGTGTGCACGAGGCTTTGCAGGAGACTCTGTGATGGTCGTGAAGCAGAAGGAGGTGTGTGTGGGAAGTCTCTTAACTCTCCTCATGCTTTCTTTGTTCACTGAAATGATGCCTTTGCCTTACTTTGTCCATGATCCCTCTTGGTCTCAAATTTTGTCATTTGAGTGGCCACCTGGACAAAAGATTCAATAATGAGTAAATGAGGCCTGAGGAATGTCACTGTTTTGGATGAGACAAAGGATGATTGGTTATGCAAAATGCAACTTTCTCAGCATTCTATTCCAAATGGTCAAGTGTTTAGGTGAAGCATGGAATCTGTTTTGTGCATTATGAGCCTTCAGGGATGAAAGGAGGTGTATTGGCCATGCACCACGAGAAAGAGCCTTCAGAGCTCGTATCATTCACAGCCACACTCACTTACATACACTCCTGACCCTCCTCTTGGCTGAGTGAATATGGGAGGTGGTTTGACCTGTTAATTTATGAAAATTATTTTTATCTTATTTCTGTATATAATTCACTGCTTTATACATCATTGTTTCACCAAATGAGCATGGGGCAGGGGTGATATGTTTTCTAAATACTGTTTCTATCCTCCAAACCTAAGTTGCCCAAACATTCACAGAAACACAAGTGCTCTAAAGTTCCTAAGATAAATACTTTTTAAAAAGTATCAAAATTCCTTTTTTCATTTGTAGAATCTAAAGGGCAAATAACCTATCAATAATCCAGACAGACTTGGGCTCATGGTTCAACTTCCACTAGCATCTGCCTCGTACTTCTCTTCCCTATGAGATAAACCCACTGCCATCAAGTTGATCTGACTCTTAACAACCCTCTGTCACGTTGCAGAGGTTTTAAATCTTTATGGGAGGCAGCTACCCACGTTTCTCCCATGGAGCGGCTAGTGGATTCAAACTACCAACTTTTTGGTTAGCAGCTTAATACATTACATACTACTGTACCAGGGCGCCTTCTATGAACTAAAGGCCTTTTAAATCACAATGTTTATTTTTTTCAAAGACATTGTTTGTGTGCTGCCTAGAAGAGTGTAACAGATGTTTAAAAAGTACCTAATTTCCATAGATTGGCCCCAATGAGTTTATCACTGTTTAATACAGACACAGATCATCTTTCTTATTAACAGAACATGAGAATGCTAAGTAAAAATGCAGCATAGGCACATGTTCTACAGATGTGTTTAGTCTTACAAGAGTTATCATCTAAGGCAAAGAGGTTCATATCAACATGTATTGCTGTGAGTTTGCTTATAAGAAACTGGATAGCAAAACCGGAGAAAGGTACTTCAGCCAAAAGAGTAAGCTACTGTACACTGTCCTTCCTCTATGTCATTGTGGGCAGAACTATTTAATTTTTTTTTTAACTGATCCAAGGTGCACAAATATAGTGAAAGTGCACACAAATATGGAGATGAGATTTAGCCATTGTGGCCACCAAACTCTGTGACTTCATCTTGGTTATAAACGAATAAATCATGAGAATTTATTTTTTGCCTGTGAATTTGTAAAGTTGTACACTTACCTGCCATGTGGCAATGAGAATTTTGGAGAGAGAGACTCCTGGGTACAGTCCCTTCCCTCGAATGTCACTACAAGTCAAGGAGGGAGAAGGGGCCCTGAAAGACTCTAGTGTGTGATTGTGTTCTCTCAGGAAAATGTTCTGTGCCAAGTGCCACCTCACTGTGTCCAACGTAACTGCTTCGGAGAACCCCTGGTGTGGACCTCGGATTTCACGCACCTTCCATATCGTTCCCCGTCCAGTGTCCAGAGGCGCCAAGCTCAGGCCTTCGCAACTCACGGCAACATCAGTGACTCTATCTACTGTTGGATTCTGAGCAGCACTTAAGACTGTTTTGAGAATTTGAGTGTATTTCATGTTCCATCCATTTGTGTGATGAAAAATAAAAGGTGCTGTGACCTGTGTTTTTCAATTGCTAGTCCTTTGCTCCAATTTCCCATTACAAAAGTTCAAGCAGTTAGTATGTTTTCAGGAGTTTAATTCCCACTCTCTACAGCGGTTTGGCTTATCTCCAGCCCGTGAAGTGTTGGCATTGTTTGAAATGTTCCCTGAGATAGTTATCAGAAGCTTTTGTGGATGGGTGGGATGGGGTGGGAGTGGCAGTAGAAACAGTTGTTATTGTTATGTGTTGTTTTTCCTGACTGGTAACAACTCTGTGAACAGCAGATATGAGCCCTGCTCAATCCTGCACCAACCTCAGGATCATTGACGTGCTCAGCCCCTGGTATAGTCACTGTCTATCCATCTTGTTAAAGGGTCTTCTCTTTCATTAACCATTTACTTCTCCAAGTGTGATGTCTCTTTCCAAAAAAGCTAGACAAGCCTAGCTTCTCCGGTACAAACTATATGAGATGGAGTCTCACCATCCTTGCCATCAAGGAGTTCACTTTATCTAAGATAGATTTGTTTTCACTTTTTGTAGGCCATGAGATACGCTGTTCTCTTTGCCAACACCACAATTCCACAATTGCTCTGACAGTCTTGTAGTGGGCTGGAAAATTAACAAACTCACAATCTGTAAACACAATCTTACAAAACATTAAGAAAGCAAATGACAACATACAAAGGGAAAATAGCTGGCCCACCAGCTACTTCTTTGTTAGGTTTTATGTCTGACTTGAGAGCATCAGCTTTTGAAAGGTCATCATTCTAGAAAGATAGGAGGACGTTGGTCTCCTGAGTGATGATTCGATGAGAATTACTAAGCAGTGCCTCTGGGTGGCCTGGAGGGAGAGCGCAGGGACCATCCCTCTTACCTGTTCTCAGGTATGGTGACTGCTCCCAAGCCCTGCTCCCTACCAAGTTAAGGGCACCCCCCTTTAACAAGTATTGGAGGGGGAAAATGTGATTAATATTGTGTCAAAGAAAGTGTCAATTAGGGTGAAAAAGTTATTTGGCTAAAGAAACTGTCAGTAGACACCTAGGGACCCTGTGAACGGTGGATCTGAACCCTCCCTGATCCTGGGCCATTCTCAAAATCTCCAACACGACACACATGAGCCCACCATTACATTCACTGTGTCAGTCCATCTAGTGGAGGGTCTTCCCCTCCTTCCTTTACACAGGCAATAAAACACAAGTAAACATCTCTGCTAGCAGCCAAGACCCATCTTACAAATAAGGACATCCTTTGTTCATAGCTCTTCTGAATCCAGCTTGAATTTCTAGCAGTTCCTTGTCCATTTTGCTACTCCATCTATTTTTAAATGATCTTTAGCAAGGTTTTACTTGCATACTGTTCAGTAATTCCTGCATTCTGCTGGATCACCTTGTTTTGGAATGGGAACGAATATGGATCTCTTCTGCTCAGTTGGACAGGTAGTGGTCTCTGAAATTTCTTGGCAAAGACCAGTCAGCATATACAGTGCTGCAACTGCCTCAATTATTCTCTCAATCCTTGGAACCTTATTTTTTTCCCCCCAGTATCTTCCCTGTAGCTTGGACTTCTTCCTTCAGTACCATTGGTTCTTGATCATATGCTGTTTTCTGAAATTGTTCTGTGTCAACCAATTTTTTTGGTACAGTTATCTGTGTTGTTGTTAGTTGCTGTTGAGTTGAGTATGACTCATGGAGACCCTTTGAACAGCTAACGTGAACCCTGCCCTATCTTGTGCCATCTTCAACATCTCTGACACACTACAGTCCATCACTGAATTTACTGTCATTCTATCTCATGGTGGGGGGTTGGTGGTCGTGTCTTCCTTTCCTTCACTGACCATCTTTCCAAGCATGATGTCCCT